CTCCCCTCCTGAACTCACTACCTAGAGAAAAGATACCACCAAAAAATACAAAACAACAATGAACATTTATGGATAGTAGATTATGCCCTCTTCCTCAGGCACTGTTCTAAGCACTTAAGATTTCTTTATGTATTAAAATCTTCCTAAAATTTATAAGGTAGATACTGTTATCATTCTTACCTAAAACAGGACTCGGCATACAGTAGATGGTCAATAAACATTTGTTGAATGAATGAATTCCTATTATACTGATGGGAAAACTGTGATTGAAAACCATTGAGTAATGTGTCCCAGGTCACACAGAAGATGAAACTGGGATTCGAATCTAGGTGATTCTGAGCCTATAGGCTATGCTTTTATCTGTGATGGCAAACTACCTCCTGGGCTCTGCAAGGTGTCTGTCATAAAGCCCAGCCAGAGTGACAAACTTCCTGCCCCTGCAGCTCCCTGATGTTTCTGGTGGCCGTCCCCAGAAGCTGGCACACAGAAGCCTGTTTGAAATGCCAGCCTCCCACCACTCAGGAACTAGGTCAGCCTCACTAACCCGGAATCCCTCTTCAACTGTCCTCATTCCTACCCTGTCTATCCTAACCTCAGAGGTAGCTTCTCCTCTCTATGCAGTCTCTGAACAAGGAAGCTCTCTAGTTTCCCCAGGCTTACTTATTGGGTTAACTTCATGCTCACCTGTGTTCTCTGTTGTGACCTCACAGCTAACCCCTAGTGCCTGCAGGCACTCACACTCAGCATACTGTAAACCCAAATCATTGTATTTGCACCAGATGTTTGGGGGTTATTTCTTTTGTTTTTATGACCCCCTTTTGGGAGGCTGGCTGAAAATTCTGATGCTTGAGCCTCATGAGAATCATGCTTTTGGCTCACTTGGCTTTTAAAACCAACAAAGGTTGGCATTTGGCATTTTGGAATGCTACCTGGGAACCCACCATGATGAGCAAACCCAAGAGGACAAATTAACAAACCCACCAGGCTATGCCTAATTTATTGCTCAGTTAGATCTCAGCAGTCCATCTCAAATGACTGCAGGTAGAGATTTACTTAAATTTTGAAAGACTTTAAAAATTCACATTAGAAAAAGATATTTTTAAATCTGACTGGCTCACGTAACAGCTGTAATACAGCGTCTGGTTCTTCCTGGGGTTGCAGCCAGATCAGCCCTGCTCTCTTGGCCTTCACACACTAACGATGAGTATTTGTCTTCTCTACATTCCCCATTGCTCAGTGAGGGGGCTGCTGGAAACACTCTTTGGCTCTGGGGTCGGGACGTGGAGTCTTCTACCACAGGCACTAGCCACACCCTCCCTGAATGGAGTTAACGCAGGCACACCACTTTCCCTGCTGAATTTAAAATGAAGACCATAGTGCTACTAGCCTTGCGTGGTTGTTAGGAAGATTAAGCATATGCAGAACCTCCTATGACAAGTTCAAGGACATAGTGAGTCACTCCATAACTATTATTTATGGTTATTATTCTTATAAATAAGCACTGGTACTAGGGACAGTGTGCTGAGGGGCATGTCGGCTCTCATGTCAAATATTATCTCCATAGGGGCTCCTAGTGTAGTTGTGTCCAATAAGTTGTTCAGCTTTCTTACTTTGATGATATTAATTATTAACATGATGGTTCTCATGGTTATTTTATTTTGAGCGGTTTCCATGATTTATCTCAGTGTTTCGCCAAATGCATGTGCTATATAAAAGATGCATGGATGAAATGTAACTAGCATATCAAATTCATGATTTCTTGGCTGTCATGGCCTAAGGTGAAGCTGAAATTTTAAAAAGCTGTAGGTTGAAATTAGTCTGTCTAAAACACATAGTAAATATATAACTTTATATAATCTGTACTTTGATATACATATATAGTAAAAAGGGTTTGAGGATAGGATAAGAATCCATAGAAGATAGTTGTATTTCCTTTTATTCTCACTTAGTCTTATGAAACAGGCACCACTATTTCCTCCTTTTACAGGTGTAAGAACTGAGGTTTAAAGAGTCTAGAACTGTGATGTGTGTCTTAACAAGAGGTAGGCCCAGGATTCAAACTCGCCATCTTTGCTGTCTGTTGTGCCACCTCCAGGGTTGTTTCTCACTTCTTTTCTCAGGGAAGCTTATTTTCTCTTTAAAAAGTTTTAACATTAACTTTTATTGCTTTCCCTTCCAATAAAATGGAGACTTACTTGTTATAGAAATTTCAAAAAATACAAAGAAGGAAAAAGAAGTAAAGCACTTTTTTTATTGTTATAAGAACACTTATATGAGATCCACGCTTCTAACACCTTTAACCGTATGCTACGGTATTGTCAACTACGGTATTGTCAACTACAGGCAAGAGGCACAGCAGATCTTTCCCTTTTCTACCACGGCCCTGCACGAGGGGTTAACCAAGGACATTGAGAGGGGTCTGAGAACCTGCAGGAGCCCCGCAAGAGGGGGCGGGCCTGCCGAGACTCCTAGTTCCTAGACTGTTTTCTCTAGACCACATTGCATTGTACGCTGGGCCCTGGCAAGCCGTTCCTGTCTTTGGAAGAAAAAGTAATGTGTCCCCAGAGAACCATCAGAGGCCATCCAGGTTAATACTGCCATAAGTAAGCTTCTCCCTACTGGGGAGCAGGGCCTGTGAGTGCTGGCTGGCCCCGGGCTCTGTTCCCGGGATGGCAGCCGTGATGGCTGGCTCTGAAGCGGCTCTGGCCTTTCCCGAACAAGGAGCTCGGCAATTCTGTCTACACAGATGCGCACACCTAGACAGGCACCAGCTGATTCAGTGAAGGCCTTTTCAACCCAAATGCTAAGTTTGGGCAAAGATCTGGGGTACCACCAAATTATGAGGTTTCGATTCTTTGTTGGGTTTCAACTGGTCACTTTGAAATCTTTCTGGCTCACTGCTTCCTTCAGTGGTGAGTTGGAAGGAGAAGGACCTGGACATTAATTCGGCAGCACTGGTAAATTATTAGAGGACCAGAGGAAACAGACACCATGTAAATTACAGTTACTATTGTAGTGCAGTGAAAAAAAGAGCTGTTCACCATAATCTGTGATTCTTTGAAGTTGCATTTTAGGACTCTGGGTTTCAGAAGCTGAGCCCTTTTCTTACCTCTCCTTCAGTCTGTGGTGGGGAACTCGAGTGCCTTCCTTTGGGCATTTCAAAGCAGCACCAGGCACCCCTGTCCGTTTTGACTCTGGGTCCACAGCAGAGATGAACGGTTGAAGGCCTCAGGCCTTTCCCGCTTCAACAAACATGTGCCAGTCCCAGGGTCTTGCTAAGAATTCCTTTCTTCCTCACAGCATTATCACAAGGTACTGCCCAGAACAGGTAATATGAATAAAACGTATTTCTTATTAGATGGTCTAAGCCTGTTCGTTTAAGAAAAGGATTTGATAAGGAATGTTCATGCCTCCTAGTAGGTTTTGAAGGTGATTTTTAATGTACGCTATTATTTTTTTGGTTAGTAACCCTCCTGTTACACCCCAGGGCTCCTGCTACAGCCGCGTTGTTTTCTGGGTAAATTGTCCTGAGCAAGCACGCTGCCTGTGGTGAGTTGTGCCAGTCACAGCAGCACACCTTGCCTGTGGGTCTGGGCCCTGGCATTCTTCAGGCTCCAGCTCCTCCCCAGCTCTCGTCCCGTCCAGCCTCAGCCACTGGCACAAAAATGCTGTCAGTGAGTTTCAAAGGTGCAGCAGGAGGTGTTATCCACCCTCACAGCCTGCAGTCCAACAGGGAAGAAGCCAAGTGAAAACACACTAATCAGACCTTTGATGCTACACAAAGCAAATTGCATTTCAAGCTTTAGAGAACACGGAGTCATTCTAAACCTGATTAAGATTCATCTGGCACCACATTGTGATCAATGTTTATTTTGGAAAAGTGGATTGTCATTATTTTCAGTGTCTTCTTTATTCACCCAGAAAATCTTTGTTTTCCTCTTCTTTGGGATAGTAGGTGTAAGAGAAGGCCTTGGTTGTCCCGACTTGTTTGCTGGGCAGAACTGAGAAGGAGTTTGTTTTGGCTGCTTCTTGAATAATTCTGTACCGAGGCTTGTGATGAGACAGACTCTCATCCTGGCCATCCTGACGCAGTGCCCTAACGCTCCTCACTGTACTTGTCCTCACTTCTGTAGCTAGCATGGGTTGCTCACTTCTGGACCGACCCTGGCGTGGGCAGCTAAGGAGCTCATTTAAAAAAGGAATGAATGACCACACTGAGAATTTAGGCACCGGGCTGCCTAAGCAGAGGGTTTGGAGCAGGTTTTGTTCTTGTTTTTTATTTTGTCCAAAATGCAATGCTATATGAAATTTTGGAGAAGGAACAGAATCATTCTGAATGTTAACATGCTTTGTGGTTGCTATGTATTAGAGCTTCTTTTGATCTTTTAGTGTATTTTTTGTATACCTAAATCTATGCTTTTTTATGTTAATGGAATCATTCCTGTTTTGTTTTGAAATCCGTGCTTTGAATTTAGCGTATTTTGAACATCACTCTGTGTTGATAAGCATAGTTCTGCATCATTTTTAATGACTGCTGAATGATTTCCTGCCTGGGGATTCCTCTCCTCTCTTGTTTGCTCCTCTCTTCCTTCACTGGAGATGGTATTGTCCCTTTTCTTCTTCAGAACCTAACATTTTTTGGTTCCAGCTTCATGTTATTGTTGTCCTTTTTTCACTAAGCATTTTGTAATTCGCCCTCCAATGTTTAAAAATAATATGAAATAAAGAGAAGATGTTTGTAGTTGTGGGCTATGCTGACTTTATAACTGACACCCAAATAATTCGTGTTTCCATTTCTTTGTTGTCGGTGGCTTTGTAATATTTTTTCTCATGGTTCTGTGAAAACAAACATGACAGTATTTTGAAAGCCTTTCATATCCCCAGAAGGAGGAAATGACAAAGAGGCAAGATAATGAATGCTGATGGTTCTTATTTAGGACTAGGACAGTCTCAAGCCCTCTGTCATGTCTAAACCCTGGTGATTTATCTTGTTTCCTCAGACCCTGTGCCAGTCTACAGAGACGGACCGAGTGAAGCAGACAGTGCCCCAGAAGACCTTCAGTCTTTTGGGACCAGCCGGCTGCTCTATCACATCACTGACGGTGACAACCCACTGCTGTCCCCTCGATGCTCCATCTTCAGCCAAAGCCAGAGATTCAACTTAGACCCCGAATCAGCCCCTTCTCCACCCAGCACTCAGCAGTTTATGATGTGAGAAAACCTTGTTTTGTTGTTTTCATTTTATATAAGTGTTTAAAGAACTTCCTTTACAAACTACAGTGAAGTGTGTCTGAAATGGTGCAAATGTGCCTACCAAATGCAACTGGGACACCTGAACAATAAATGGCAAAAATCGGTGTATTTTCTAAGTGGGAGTGCTGTTTCTAGCCTTCTTAGCGCAGGAGAAAATGGTCACCAGATACCGGCCACCACCCCAGGGCTTGCATGACTGAATATTTTTGGTGAAATGCCCAGGTACTTAAATATATGTGTGTGCAAATAGCAGGAGTATCATTCTTCATGAGTTCAATATTCTTTCCACATCCAACAGTGGCTTCAGTGGATGGATTGTGGCAGCACTTAGTTGTCCATCTTTATTTCTTCTTAAATTCTAGAAAAGTAGGGGCTTAAAATAGCTGCCTCCCCAAGAAAAAGTATGCAACTGTGTGTTCTCTCCTTTTTTTCAAGTTCCACAAATAATTTTGATTCATAGCTAAAATGAGAGTCCCTTGGCTAAAATACATTCAGGAAAATCTGTAGTATCTCCTTAATAATTTCAGCTGCTATTCATTAATTTATTCAAACCTGAGTCCATGTGCTATATACTGATAGGCTCGAGAGAGTCAGCAAATTCTCGCTGTTGTAAAGTGTGTGTCATGTGAGAGGGTGGATGCATTTTCTGGAGGTGGGGCCCATTCCATTCATCAAATTTGGAAAGGCTCTGTATGTCAGAAAAAGTTAACTACTCATCTAAATCTTCCTTGAAAATGTTAGTAGATGTGGTTCATGTGCTCTACTGGGGATCATGCTACAACAGGGCTGTCTCCTTTTAGTCTCAAATTGGTTTCCTCTAAGCTTTAGGAAATGTGTTTCCTGGACTGATATTCCGACATTTGTTCATTGAAGTCCCTGATGACGTTTGCCCATAATGTTGTGCTGTGATCAGGGGTCTCCATTAATGAGCAGTTACTGTGGTAGACTCATCAAATGATGCACTGCCCTCTGGACCGCTCTGGTAACCCAGGAAGCTTGGCTTGTAGAGCAGCAGCAGCATTTACTGGAAGACCATTGTGTTTGATCATTCTCTCCCTCCCTGCAATCCTGGCAGGCCCCGAAGTTCTTCCCGGAGTGGTTGTGGGAGCAAGGAGCCGCAGACCATTGCCCAGCTTACCAAGCACATCCAGAGCCTCAAGCGGAAAATCCGGAAATTTGAAGAAAAATTTGAACAAGAAAAGAAATACCGGGTAAGGACTGTGGGGCTTAAAATATGAGCATGGACTGTGTCAAGAGATACATTGGCTTTTCCTTTTTGAGTACTCCTCTGCATCAGAGACAGCTCCATTTCCATTGGCCAACCCACTGGAGATTGAGTGCCCGTCTTGGGCCTGTCTCGTTTTCACACGCTGTAAGCTGCCATCTCCTAGGAAGTCTCCTAGCAACTCATTACGACTCTTTTTCCAAACTGATGTGATTATTGATCCCCCTCTTCCTTTTTTCCTTAAGGAACCCCACTATCACTAGTGTTCCTAAAACTTAAATTTTGAAAAGCTTTTCGATTATGTTCTTATTTTTCTTTAACCTTCCCATCTGCATTTTCTTAAGAACCTGTTAACGACCCAAAGGACAGAATCTCTAATTGCAGAATGAATGAGGGAGAGAGTTTTCTTTGACATTAAAGTACTTCCTGGTTGATGGATGGGGAACCTCTCAAGTGACATCTGTTTGGGCCACTCATGGAAACACATCCTGACCCCTCCTTTCCCATCAGAGAGACACTGGCTTCGTGCTGGTGCCGCAATGTTACAATCATGAGCCTTTTCTTACATAAGAAACAGTAAAGTCAGAGGTAAGTGTCTCGATAGCCACTGCTGGTTTCATTTATTTTCTTTGGTGGTGACCATGTCACAGAGAAAAATAATGTTCGTGTGGAACTGCACAAAGATACTGGGTCTTTGGCAGAGGGCCCAGAACAGCTTGTTATTAGAATAAAAGAGAACAAGGAATAATGCCTCATACATCCTGAAATATTTAAAGGCTCACTGAGCACTTGGTAGGGGGGTAATCGGCAGGTCCCTGTGAATGTAGGATGTTCTGGGAGGGAGGCAAGAGCTGGTAACGAACCACTCTCCTGTTCTGTCTTGTATTTCCCACAGTGGTTTTACATTTACTAAAGGCATGGATTGTAGCTTTGCAAAATGGAAAAAAAATCAGATTGACTTTCAGGACAGCCTAACTCAGGATGTTAAAGATTATTCTCTTCTTTGAAGTCAGGGAGTCACAGCTACTACTATTTTCTTTACGGAGCGGAGGGGTGCGCTACAGCCTGGGGGGACAGGTAAGGCAAGTGAGGCCCAGGAAGGCTTATGACTTGCCTAAGGTAGTTTTGTTCTGTCAGTTCAGGCTTGGGTGGTAGATTAAGTCTGAGTGGGTTTTACAATGGAGGAGTGGAAGTAAAATTCATGAGCATCCACGTTTTGAAGCACCAGGTATTCTAGAGAAGCTGACTTTCCCTGTTTGCTGTGAGAATGTTATTGGATCCGCGAGGCTCTCGTTTTGGAAACTGCTGAGTGACAAGTTCAGGTTCCGTTCCCAGGGCCTGTGAACTGTGCTCTCTTGGCAGTTCTTGAATCAGGCTGATCTGGATTGAAGCCCAGCACAGCCACGTAGGCACTTGTGACTTTGGATTTGTTTTTTTACCTTTCTGAGTCTTAGTTTATCCATCTGTATAGCAGAATTAATATCAGTAGTGACTTCAGAAGTTTGTGAGTGTTAAATAAGAGAGTGCACACGTAAAGCTTATTACAGTGTTTAGAGTAAAGGAAGTAAGTGGTTTTGGGTGTTACCAACTTCCGAATGTATTTAAGTGACATCTGAACAGGCTAAACCTTGGCAGCCCCTGCTCGTCAGAAATTGAAGGTGTAAAAGGCGAACTAAAAGGACAGCTAGATCAGGAGTGGAAACATAGAAATGAAGATCTCAAGGAGGGTTAGCAACAGGGGAGTGGGAGGAAGAGAAGTGGGGAGAAGGTTCAGAAAATAAGTAGCATAGACAGTAGATAGAAAATAGATGGGGGGGCAAGAATGGTATGGGAAATATAGAATCTAAAGAACTTGAGACACATGGTCATAAACTAAAGGGGGGTAATGGTGGGTTGGGGGGGTAGGGTGGAGGGGAATGAAGGGGGGAATAGAACAACTGTAACAGCATAATCAATAAAAATAAATAATTTTTAAAAAATTTTTAAAAAAAGAAAAAGAAATTGAAGGAGAATTTTACATGTTAGAGCTCTACTTTCCTCTATGCGACCACAAGCCCTGTGGCTTTTTCTCAACTAGAACTATCTAGAACCTGCCTATTTTTTAAGAGAATTTCTCCTAGCACCCCCCTGCCTTTGTCTAGAGAACCTTTAGAAGCAGAGCAGACACATGTTTACACACTTAAACACTCACACATGCAGATGGCGATCCAGGTGCAGTAGGGCCAGGAGGCTTCACAGTCACCCCTGCTTCCGTGTCTAGTCTTTGGAGTAATCAGAACCTGCCATGTCTCAGGAAACAGGGCTTCTTCTCACCTTTCCTGTCAGGGTGCCAGGCTTGGCTTAGAGGTTTGACATTGTCAGTGGGCTTCCATTGGTTGCTATGCCTAAGGCTTTCCTTCCTGGAAACCTGACCATGGAAAGAATGGCTCTTGCTGCTAATTTTTCAGTCTGACCTCCTGCTGGTCTTCTGTGCTAGCTAGTCTGGTGCCACGGTATAACTTACGTCTTCCTCTCTCTGTCGGGCATAACTGTTTCACATTCTTATACAAAACTGTGTTTATTCCTGGCAACTGATTTAACATTAAACTCATACACCTAGGACAGGCTGCTTTAGCCAGATGCCCATTTTCATAGTAGCTAGAGAAATTAGAACTAGAAGGGCTCAGCCAGTCTTGTTTGTTATTTGGCGATTGAGAAATTGAGGCCCAGAGAAGGGAAATGACTTCCCCAGCATCACACAGCAAAGCCTTGATCTAACCAAGACAACAACTCAGATATTTTCACTCCTAATCCAGAAATTTTTCTAATGTGTCTTTTGAACTGTCATTAGCAGACCACAATTCTAATCCAGTGGTACCCTCGGTAAGGAACTCTGGAGACCCATTATAATTTCCCTGAACAAAATTTACACTGTGTAATTCCTCAGTATATGGCCCCTGGGGGTCTTTTAAACTGAAATTATTCAGGCCAAAAGTTATCACCATACCTAACATCAAACTATATTACATGGTTACAGTAATCAGAACAGTCTGATACTGTCATTAGAACAGACACATAGATAAATGAAACACAATAGAGAGCCCAGAAATAAGCCCAGGTCTCTATGGTCAATTAATATTCAACAAAGGGGGCAGAAGCATAAAATGGAATAAAAATAGCCTCTTCGACAAATGGCATTGGGAGATCTAGACAACTACATGCAAAACAATGAAACTCGATCATGACTCACACCATACACAAAAATAAATTCAAGGTGGATAAAAGACTTAAATATAACTTGTGACACCATAAAAGTCCTAGGAGAAAAGAAAATCTCAGATATTCCATGCAGTAACATTTCACCAATTTGTCCCCTAGAGTAAGGGACACAAAGGAAAAAATAAACAAATGGGAAGAACTTCATCAAAATAAGGAGATTCTGCATGGCTAAAGAAAACATCAGCAAAATGAAAAGGGAACCAACTATATGGGAAAACATATTTGCCAATGATATCTCGGACAAGGGTTTGATCTCCAAAATATATAAAGAACTCACACTACTCCACTCCAGGAGAACAAACAATCCAATTGAAAAATAGGCAAAGACCTGAACAGACTCCTCTCCAAGAAGGACATACTGAAGGTCCAGAGACATAGGAAAGGATGTTCAGTATCACTAGCCATCAGAGACACGTGCAAATTAAAACCACAACGAGATACCACTTTACACCAGCCAGAATGGCCATCATAAACAAATCAACAAATGACAAATGCTGGTGAGGCTGTGGAGATAAGGGAGCCCTAGTGCACTGCTGGTGGGAATGCAGATTGGTGCAGCCTCTGTTGAAAAACAATATGGAATTTCCTCAGAAAACTAAAAATGGATCTGCCTTTTGACCTAGCAATTCCATTGCTAGGATTATACCCTAAGAACCCTGAAATGCCAGTTCAAAAGAACCTATGTACCCCAATGTTCATAGCAGCACAATTTACAATAGCTGAGTGATGGAAGCAACCTATATGTCCATCAGTAAATGAGTGGATCAAAAAACTGTGGTACATTTACACAATGGAATACTATGCAGCAGAAAAAAAAAGAAAGAGGGGGCTCCTGCCAGTCATGACAGCCTGGAACTGAATAGAACTGGAGGGCATTATGCTGAGTGAAATAAGCCCGTCAGTGAAAGACAAATGCCATATGATCTTATCTATAAGTGGAACCTAATCAACAAAACAAACAGGCAAGCAAAATATAACCAGAGACATTGAAATAAAGAACACACTGACATTAATCAGAGGGGGAGGGGGAGGGATATAATAGGGGAAAGTAGGGAAGGGTCATCAGGGAACATGTGTAAAGGACCCATGCACAAGGCCAAAGGGGCGAAGGATTGAATGTCGGGGGCAGGGAGTGGTGGTGGGAAAGTGGAGAGAACTGTACATTTACAATGATAAAAAATAAAATTCTAATTGATTATACCTTTAAAAAAAGCTGAAAGAACCACAGCTTGTATAAGAAAACTTTCCATGTGATTTAAAAGCAGCTATCCTTATGAGCTTGATTTAACCTCTTTTGAAAGATTTCCCAGGAGCAGGGAAATAAAAAAATTCATTTCCGAAAATTCCAGGCTTTAAAATATTTTGTCAGAAAATCCTGCCTTAAGTTTCTTCTAAATCCTGTTTGAGGAAGTGAAAGCTCACGTCTTTGGTAGTTATTGGCTTAGGACATTAGATTTTTGTTTTTGTCTTTAACAGTATTTCAAAAGGTGGCATTAAGTATGTGGAGCATATCCAGTGAAAAAAGACGAGTTCCAAAGACTCTGCTTCTTCAGATTAGAGTGCAGAGTTTTGGGAGGATTTAGAGGAATCCAATATAAAAAAATTGACCATCCATATAGCCAGACTGTTACCTAAGCCAAAGCACTAGACTCTTTAGCAGGGAAGTAGCACAGAGCATCATTCTAGCAAACCGTGCACAGGACCAGGCTAAGCTATGTATTTTGGAGGCATGACTCCTGTATCACTGTCCATGGTTCTGAACCCGGCTTCCCTGGTGAAACTGCAGTATCCCCCTCTGAGCTTCCCGAGGAAAATAATCAAATAATCACTGTCATTTTCCTTCAGTCACCTTTTCCATCCTGATTTTAAAAGTATGGTTTTTACAGCATCCCGGAAGTGACAGAAGCATGTCTGATGTTTCACAATGAATCTAATCTCGTACATTTGATGATCCTGTCACACAGCATGATTTTCCCCTTTGATCTTGAGAGGAACACATTCATTTCCATTTGCCTCTCTCACCAAAAACTCGATGTTATGTAGATTTAGTGAATTCTTAAAGAAACATAGCAGAACCTCTAGACTTGGTCACTACCATTATACACATTTCTGGCTATTATGATGTTTATGATTATGTCATCTTGAGAGTTACTGATCATTTCCTTGTATATCCTCAATTCAAAGTAACTTAATTTTCTTGAGCCTGAATTTAAGTTACCAGGGTGGCCCCAACTCCTTTAGGTCTTACTGATCCATGGAAATGGAGGCTAAATATGTTTAGATATTCTTGTCTCCTACTTTCTCTTTTCCGTAGAAAGTCCACTTTTATGCTGAGAAGACATCTAGAAGTCAAGATGAATTATTTGTATTAACAGAGTCATATCCTTCTAAAATCAAATATATATTCTCATCACCATGCCCTAGTGTGGTTAGCTACTTGGCAGGGCCTACACACCCCTCCATATATTTGTCAATGAAGATATATTCAGTGTTTCTTTGAAGGTCTGGTAGAAACACTGCTACCTATCATCACTGCTTGTAATGACAATGATAATATTTGTAATTCTAGCTAGCGCATCTATAGTGTTTAGCATATGCCTGGAGCTATTTTCAGTGTTTTGCATGTATTAACTGATTTATGTCCCATAGCAACCCTGTGAGGGAGTCGTATTATAATTCTCATCTGATTGAGGAAACAGAAGAACAGAAACTATAAGTAATTTTCTTAAGGACAAACACATCTGATTAAGTTTCATTTTAACATTAGCCCAGTAGGATATTGAGTCTATAAACAGTGAGAGGACTGGTAGTCTGGGTACCACTCTGATATACTGATTTCTCAGACTGATTTTATGTCAGGTTTCAGAGATCGAGGGGTGTCTTTTCTTGGGCTCGAAACATCTGGTTGATAGGAGCTAAATCTTCCAGTATTCTCCAGGCGAGTTGTGGTCATAAGCTGCCATAGGTGTGGGCACAAGCAAATAAGTAATGCTGGTTTGTGTCAGTGTAATCACCTACACTGATACAAAAAATGTGTGGGGTATGGGCGGCCCGGCAGGTGCCTGAGGGTTAGACTGCAGGGCGCATGGGCATGGTTAGGAGTATGCAAAAATAATGCTGAGTATCCACGCATGTTTAGAAACAATGTCTGCAGTGGAAAATGTGGAGGAAGCAGCTTCATCAGCTGGAGTTTGGCACCTGAATTTACCTCCCTGCTCTAGGTGTTTTGTTCCTGAACTATCTTTGTGTGTTCAGCTATTTTTAAAAGTTTGTTTTTCTTTTTCTCTCTCTCTTTCCCTCCCTCTCCTTCCTTCCCTCCCTTCCACCCCCATTGTTCCCTCCCTTGGTAGCCTTCCCACGGTGACAAGACTTCTAATCCTGAAGTCCTGAAATGGATGAATGATTTGGCTAAAGGCCGTAAACAGCTCAAAGGTAAAATCATCCAAGAGTCTATTTTCTGGGGGAAAAAGAAGTTAAAATAATGACATTATGCTCCAGGGTATTTTTATTCTTTTCTACCTGTACCCTCCTACCTTGTCTCCCCCATAGAATAGAGGCCCTATCTTGAAATAAAGCGTCCTGAATCGCCTTCATTATGGGGTCCCATTTAATAAACCTTTTATCAATAGACAGAGGAACTCCAGACTCCCAAATAGGGTGACTTACAGCCCTGGGAACATTTAAATACGGGGAGCACTACCTTCTGTGGGTTATTGGGTTCTTGGACGTTGGAAGCAGAAGAGGCCTCCGCGGTCCTTTACTTCCCATACTGCATTGTACTGACGAGGACATTTACGTCCAGAGAGTGGAAAAGTGTATGTGGCTGCGAAGTGGTGAACTAGGTGTAAACCTCAGTTCCCTGCCTCCTAATCCAGTGTTCTCTCTCTCTCTCTCTCTCTGGAGATGGTGGTGTGAGTGTTAATTAGCTCTACAATCCGTTCTAAAAGGCTATGTTTACTTAACAATAATTTTTTTCTTCCTCTCTCCATACTCATTTCAATACTTACAGACATGAGAAGAGTTTCCAGTTTTCTAGAAGTAGGGTGATTAAAGAACTAGGAAGGAATATTAATTCAGTGGTATTAAATTGTAATGATGTAGCAGGTTTATGAAATATGCAGTGCTTAAACGCCATGCCAGCCTCTCACTAAAAACATCAAACAAAGAAAATGAGCTATGTAATTGAGAAATCAGTCTAAATACCCTCAGACGACCAGTTGCCTAACACATTCTGAAATGTGGTTGCCTGAGAAGTCCCAGGTGGTTTTTTTTAATTATGTAGGTTTATATAAAGCCACATTATAGTCATGGTAATTCCTGGATTTTAAAAGCTGGCATTAGACAAAATGTGACATCCGTCAGGTGGAGACTGGCACTGCCTCTCCCCTTTCCCGCCCCTCCTTCTCAGGCATCTTTGTGTGTGATTCCTTCCAGAAGTACTTGTTTTTCCAATGGGGGCTCTTAATGACTGCAACACTTTGAAAACCTGAGTAAATGAATCTCTGTGTGCAGAATTTTGGCTGCTATGGTAGGGAATAGGTGAAAACTTTAGGCCCGAGTAGGACGGGTCTTCCTTGAGAACCCCTACTCCCACACGTGATCCTCCACAGGCTCCCAGCCTCCGTGGTCCCTCTATGTTCACCTCTGATTGGGAGCTCATGCTGTTAGCCCTGGCTATTAAAGCCGCCCTTGCCCCATGGAAAGTCATCATCAGCACTGTTCGTCTGTCTCTACTGCCTTGGCAACAGGGGAGGGGATTCCTAAAAGTCTCTGTGCTCTTATCAGGGCCAGTGAGACCTTGCTCATGGTAACTCATGGTGTTTCTCTTAGAACTAAAACTGAAGCTGTCAGAGGAACAAGGAAGTACTCCCAAAGGCCCACCTAGAGACCTGTCCTGTGAGCAACCCACAGTCCCGAGAGAGAGTGTGAAGCCAGAAGCTGTGGGCCCTGAGCCCAGCTCCTCTGGGGAGGAGACTCCAGATGCTGTGTGGACATGCTTGAAGGAGAAGAGAGAGCAGCTTCCCTCTCAGGAGGATTCTAAGGTACCTCACCTGTGTCTTCACAGGGCTGATACTCCACGCAGTGCTGGTGAGATCATGGTGTTTCAACCGATTTATCAGAGCACTCCGGTACCACATAAGCATCTTTAGGAGACTGGCTCTGAAATATCAATCAGATGAGTTCCTGCGGGGCTATTGGCTGGGACCTGTGGGTGTTGGCAGTGACTCCAGGATAGGTTGTCATTCTGGAAGTTACAGCACTGCCCACTGATGGGAAGCAAATGGCAAAGACACTGGGGCGTATCTTATCCCCTCTCCCCCGGTGTCCCCTGGTAAAAGTTAGCGAATGAACCTCAAACTAGGATTATAATCCCATTTTGCCATATTTCATTAAAAATAATAAAGAAAGGATCGGTATACATAGTAAAGTATTTTAAAATTTTATATAAGGATAGAGAGGTAGGGTTTCTCAAGAAGTATTAGGTAAGACATCTGAAGTTTTTAGCTTTAGACATCGTTGTTTAGAAATCTGTGTGGCAGCCAGATGGACTTGTCAGTTAGGCATTTGGATATGTGAATCTGGAGCTCAAAGGAAAAATGTATTATATTTTTTAACAAAGAAGATGTGAGCAATTAGCATTGACCTGGTTAATCCCTCCTCATCTCACTTCTCTGTGCTACATTTCACTGATGCCAGTGAACCTGCTCTATGATCCTTCCTGTCTCAACTGTAAGGGTGGCGTGGTTGCCCTTCATTTCTTTTTTTTTTTAATATATGTATTTTTTATTTATTTATCTTTAAAGAGGAAGGGAAGGAGAGAAGGAGAGAAATATCAATGTATGGTTGCCTCTTGTGAGTCCCCTGCTGGGAACTGGCCTGCAACCCAGGCATGTGCCCTGACTGGGAATCAAAACTCGATCTTTTGGTTTGCAGGTCCACACTCAATCCACTGAGCTACACCAGCCAGGGCTGCCCTTCATGTCTTGATTGAGAGTTGTAGCTACTCTATCATAGCTCTAACTGTGCTTTATGCCATTTTGTCTCTTTTAAAAATTTTTTTAAAAATATATTTTATTAATTATGCCATTATAGTTGTTCTATTTCCCCTCTTCATTCCCCTCCATTTTGTCTCTTGTACTAGAGTTTAAACTTCTTGAATAAAAGGGCTGTCTATTGCTCATGATTCTACAGTATCTATACATAGATATTAAATAAATGTTCCCTGAGCAAATGGACAGATGCATGAACAAACTAGCACATTAACCTTTGGAATGAAGTCTTCCTGAGGAGAATGCTACCTTTGCCTGTTTTCTGGTACGTTATCTGGTCTTAGTCACAAGATGGCAACATAGGCCAAATCCCAAAATGTTATACCATATGCGCCTGGACTGGTCCATTGCACTGGGACATGGGATATACAAGTACTAATGGAAACAGGCCCTTGGCAACCCCTAGCTTTATAAAATAGTTTTAGACTAAAAAAAAAACACACACAATTTATAGAGTGACAAGTGAATACAAGGTTTTCATCCACTCGGCTAACTTATCCCCTCTCCTACAAATATTCTAGACTTTTGTGATAGCCAGTGGGTAAGTGAATAACACATCTGTGATTTTCCATCCTTCAGTGCCTCTGATGGAATTTCCTGCATTTTATAGTTACCTCGACCACACCTCTAAAGACAGCTTGGTCAACACCAAAGTCCTAATTCTATGCTCTACTCAATTGACTAGAACACTGAGGGATGAGCTTGGTATAATAGACTCAAAGCAGAACTCAGCACTTGAAGGAGCCATTTCTAACTGTGCATACTTGGCAAGTAAATAATTCTCTGAGATACAACTTCCTCATTTATAAAATACGAATGATCCCTACTCATGCAATTATGGTGACAATAAAGGGAGATAACCTGGTGACTGGTGGGTAGTTATTCATTGAAAAAAGATTTGAGTGCCTACTATGCATTGTGAACTATGATACATGCTGTCTATAAAAAAATAAGATATAGAAGTCATAGGGGGATCACTACCCTCAGTGGGCTCATGTTCTTCTGGGGGTTTGGGTACAACAACAAATAAACAACTCAGATAAAATCATTCAATGTTTTTATAAGTATTGTGCAAATTAGATGATATAATAGAAAGGGAAGATAAGGTTTGTACTTAACAGAGTGATTAGGAAGAACAATAGGTGACATTTAGTGAAAAAGAATTAGCAGGCTAAGAGAGCAGCAAAGAACATTCTAGATAGGTAGGACTGCAAGTATAAAGGCCAAATATAAAGGAAGAACTTTGTGTACTTGTGATTCTCAGGTCTCAGGGCTGGAGCACAGGATGGCGTGAGATTAAGTCAGAAAGACAGAGCCAGGCCCATCCCATGGGACCTTGGAGGCCATAGGAAGTATTGGGAACCTGCGGAGTGGTCATAAGCAGAAAAGTGACTTGGTGCGATTTACATTTAAACAAGCTTTCTGATTGCTGTGTGGAGAATAAATTATAGGGGAAAAGAGGAAAAGGGAGGATAAAATGGTGGCTCGGACTAGCATAGTAACCTTGGAGATGAAAAGAAGTAGACATATTCAAAATATATTTCGGATAAAGAAGTGAAAGGACACACTGAATTACTGGGCTGGAGAAAGTGAAGGAAAGGAAGCATCCAAGATGGTGATGGGTCTTTGGGAGTGGGTGTGAAAACTCAAGAGGCTTGTCTGGACACGTTAATTTTAAGACCTTTAGTGAATGGCATGACCAACCCTCGAGGTTTCCCTGGACTTTGCTGTTTTTAGCACTGAATATTCCACGTCCTACAAAATGCCTCAGTCCTGGGCAAACTGGGCATCTAAGTAAAACATGCACATGCAAATGAGAGTCTGAAGATCAAAGAAAATCTCTGAGTTCTTTAAATGTCATCTTTACTTAAATGGCAGTTTATGCTCATTATCTAAAATAATGTATTTGTTGAGCAATTTAGTAAGTGTCAGAAGCTCGTTCAGACAAACCTAATCTACACAGTGGGCTGAGATGTTAGGCCCTTTAAATAGAGAGCATCTGTATAGCATAGAGGCCTTGAAACCTAAAGCTTGCAATATTGTTCCTGGGAGAGTTTTAACATAGTCAACCATGAAGTGGCTACTTAGCTACAAAGTGGGTCCTAAGAGGGAGTCCAGAAGCCAAAACAGAAGCAAAGAGAGGACTGTAAATTTTCAAAGTAGCTACTATCATTTGTGACTCATCAGTGAGCTCATTAGCATTTGAAGTTTTTCTTATTAGATTGCACTTTTCATCCCTTTAATATTTTATTTTTGTTTTTTACTAAATTTATGAGGACATCATTGGTTAATAAGATTATATAGGTTTCAAGTGTAGATTTCTACATGATTTGTATATTGCATTGCGTGTCCACCACTGATGTCAAATCATCTTCCATCACCATATATTTGGCTCTCTTTACCCTTTACAACGCCCACCCCCTTCCCTATGGTGACCATCCTACTGTTGTCTGTGTCTATGAGTTTCACTTTCATAACCCATATATGAGTGAAATTTTATGGTTCTTAGCTTTTTCTGACTTATTTCGCTTAGCATGGTATTCTCAAGGTCCATCCATGTTGTTCCAAATGACAGCATTTCATTTTTTCTTATGGCTGAGTAATACTCCATAGTATACAAGTATATGTACCACATCTTCTTTATCCTATAACCTATCAAAGGGCCCTTTGGTTGTTTCCATGTGTTGGTCAGTGCAAATACTGCGGCAATGCACATAGGGGTGTATATATTTTTGCAAGTAAATGTTTTCAAGTTTGTTGGGTAGATATCCAGAAATGGGATTGCTGGGTCATATGGTAATTCTCTCATAATTTTTTTGAGGAATTGCCATACTGTTTTCCATAATGTCTGTACCAGTTTACCTTCCCACCAGTAGTGAGTGAGGGTTCCTTTTTCTCCACAACCTCTCCAACACTTGTTATTAGTTGTCTTGTTGATAACAGCCATTCTAACAGGCATGAGGTAGTTTTGATTTGCATTTCCCTATTAGCTAGTGAAGTTGAGCATCTTTTCATATATGTGTTGGCCATTTGTATGTATTCTTGTGAAGTGTCTGTTCAGGTCCTCTGCTTATTTTTTTAATTGGATAGTTTGGTGTTGAATGGTATGAATTCTTTATGTATTTTAGATATTAACCCCTTGTCAGAGCTGTTGTTTGCCAATATTATTTCCCATTCAGTTGGTTGCCTTTTTGTTTTGTTGGCAGTTTCTTTGCTGTGCAGAGCTTTTTAGTTTGATATAGTCCCATTTATTAATCTAGTTAGTTATTAATATTTATTTATTTATCTTTAGAGGGGAAGGGAAGGAGAGAGGGAAACATCAATGTATGGTTGCCTCTAGTGCATCCTCTGCTGGGAACTGGCCTGCAGGAAACTGGCTTGCAACCCAGGCATGTGCCCTGACCAGGAATTGAACCACGATCCTCTGGTTCGCAGACCTGTGCTCAATCCACTGAGCTACACCAGCCAGGGCTTCCATTCAATTATTTTTTACTTTACTTGCCTTTGGGGTCATATTCATAAAATCTTCTCTAAGACCAAGGTCCATAAGTTTAGTACCTATGTTTCCGTCTTTGTAATTTATTGCTTCAGATCTTATATTTAAGTCTTGATCCATTTTGAGTTAGTTTTTGTACACGGGAACAAATTGTAGTCTAGTTTCATTCTTTTCTGTGTGGCTTTCCAATTTTCCCAACACCATTTATCAAAGAGGCTTTCTTTTCCTCAATTGTGTGTTTTTGGCTCCTTTGTCAAATAATTTGTATATATACATGAAGTTTTATTTCTGGGATCTCAATTCTGTTCCATTGGTCTTTGTGTGTGTTTTTCTGTCAATACCATGCTGTTTTGATTATTGTTACTCTGTAGTATAATTTGAAGCCAGGTAGTGTGATACCTAGGCTCTGTTCATTTCTTTTCTAGGTTGCTTTGGCATTTCAGGGTCTTCTGTGGTTCTATACAAATGTGATGGTTTTTTTGTTCTGTTTCTTTAAAAAATGATATTGGGATTTTAATGGTGATTGCATTAAATCTGTACATTGCTTTGTGTAATATGGACATTTTAACTGTGTTGATTTTTCTAATCTGTGAACACAGAATATATTTTCATTTCATTGTGTCTTTAAAAATTGATTTGAGAACGATAAAGACATCAATTTGTTGTTTTACTTATTTATACATCCATTGGTTGGTTCTTGTAAGTGCCCCAACTGGAGATCAAATCTGCAACTTTAGCATAGCAGCACAATGCTCTAACCAACTGAGCTACTACATAGCCAGGGCCTCATTGTCTTTTAAACCTCTTTTAATAATGCTTTGTAGCTTTCAGTATATAGGTCCTTTACATCCTTTGTTAAGTTTATACCTAGATGTTGTATTCTTTGTGTTATAATTTAAAAAAAGGAATTTTAAAAATTTCTTTTTCTGAAATTTAATTCTTAGTATATAGGAATGCAATTGGACTTTTTGTGATTTGGTGTCCTACAACTTTACTGTATTAGTTTACTGTTTCTAGTAGTTTTTTGTGGAGTCTTTAGGGATATATATATAGAGATATATATAATCATGTTATTGTCAAAAAGTGACTTTTACTGTTTTATTTCCAATACGGAGGCTTTTTATTTTTCTCTTGCCTGATTGCTCTAGTTAGGACTTCCAGAACCATATTGAATAAAAACTGGTTTTTAGAGGAAAAAAGCTCTCAGTTTTTCACCACTGAGTATGATATTAGCTGAGGGTGTGTCATATATGGCCTTTGTTGCGGTGCTTTCCTTCTGTACCCATATTATTGTTTTAATTATGAATGGATGTTTTATCTTATCTCATGTTTATTCTGCATCCATTGATCAGATCAGGTGATTTTTATATTTTTTGTTAATGGAATGTATCACATTGATTGATATGCATATGTTGAACCATCCCCAATCCCCCTGGAATGATCCCCACTTGATCACGATGCATTATTTTTTAATGTGTTGTTGTATCCAATATGCTAGTATTTTGTTTAGGATTTTTACTTCTGTATGCATCAGAGATATTGGTCTGTAGTTTTCTTATTTTGTGTTATCCTTGCCAGGTTTTGGTATCAGGGTTATATTTTATCCAAAACAGTTTTGATATCAGAGCTAGCCAGTAAGCTAGTATATAATGCTAGAATATAGTGAGGAAGACCAAAGTGAGACTGGTGTTTGTGAATATAATCACAAATGTCCAGATAAAATATATTTCAGAAGAAAGATCAATAGGTCTTGTTACCCATTATTTTTTTTAAGTAAAAAAGTAATTAAAGAACAGGCTCCTTAACATTTACACATTGAGGACTCCTTCAAAAAGCTTTAAAAAAACATTTTCCTAACATGGGCCTATCCTTTAAGAAACTTATGCTAGGAACAAATTGGCATGTGCTTTATACATGATTTCCCTTTTATAAGATACATGATAATCCCTAAGCATGTATCTTATAATGATCTCCCCTTTTCTCATTACTGTTGCATTATTTTCTTATAATCCCTTACTTTGAGGATTCAGAACTTTTTTTTGACCTGCTAAAAATATGTGAGAAAGGAACAGTGATTAATTTCATGTCTTTTCAGGTGATTAAGCAAGACAAGAACCTCATAAAGCCTCTTTATGATCGATGCAGAATTATCAAGCAAATCTTGTCAACACCTTCCCTGATTCCAACGATCGTAAGTCAGGATGCTTTCATTAACCTGTACTTGTGCTTTGTATTATTATGTTAGTTAGGGAGCCAGCACTATGAAAGTTATAAAGGAGCCTTCTTGGCAGTATGTGCTGCTAACAAGGCCAGCTATTTTCAGAAAGTAGAAATGTGGTCTCTCTCAACCCCAATACTCTAACTTAATGTAGCTAATGATCAGAACTATTACAAAGCAGGAATCTATGGCAACTGTATTTTTGAAGCCAGTTTTAACATTTGTTTCCTTTGGTTGGATGAGGAGAATAAACCACGAATTTCAGTTTGGCATTACAACATAGCTAGAGAGCCTTTCTGTGCCATGTGTTAATTAATTTTTTTTCATTTAATAAGAAAATTGACAATATGTGACTTGACATAATGCAACATTTGTTTTTGGTACCATTTGACCATTACTGTATAAGATATGTCAATTCATCTCAATAGAAAACATGACTACTGAAATTGAGTTAGACTACTTTTAATAAAGAATAATTTATGGGAATACAGAACTAGAAAAGCACCACAAATCCTACTCCATCAATATTCAAACAGTCACTTGCTCAAGACATCAATATAAAATGGAATAAATATTAACAAATATAAATTTAAATACACTGGAGTACATTTATAATTCCACAATTTTAAAGACAAAGACAATAGTGATTCATAATCTTAGAAATTTTCCCATTAAGTATAATTTAAAATGGGGTATGATTTTCAGATTCTCTTGCAAAAAAAAAAAAAAAAAGAGTTTTGGTTGTGATAAACATTACCAGAATAGGTTATGGAATAACTTCATTTTACTTTGGCCTTTGTAGAACTCTTCCCTGAATTTTTCTATTTTCTAGGTATCCTCTGTGTTTGATTGTGGCCCACACCAGGATCTGATTTAGGGTATTTCTGGATGGCAAAGTGTGTTTTGCCATCCTAACCCATATAAACTGTTATGAAGCTGGGTCCCAGAAGGTCTAGTTAAGAGGGAGGGACTCCTAGGCAGTGCAGCCCAGACTGCACCGCATCTTAGATGTCTATGCCTTCTTTGGCCCAACAAACAGAGATGAACTTGGTGAGCATTTTAGCCCAGCATGGGTATTTCTTTGCTTATTAACTTCTGTAAGTTTTTTTTTTTTTTTTTGATGCAACTGAGGAAGAATTCCTCTTGGTTGTATCCTTTTCAGTTCTCAGTAGGCATAGGGGTCACCTACTGTTTTCATGGTATGTATTTATGGTTCCTCTTCCTATTTTTGCTTCCTCAAGAGGCACTTAGCATTTTGTAACTTTATTTAACTCTGCATACATTAAGCAGGAGGAAGAGGACACTGATGAAGACTGTCCACAGGGAAGCCAACAGCCTTCTTTGCCAAATCCAGCATCTCATATTCCTGGTGGCGATCACCTTACCTTCTCTAATGAGATTGAGCCTGTAAGGGTCCTGCTACCAGAAGAAAAGAAAGAAATCAAACCACCAGCCCTCTCCATGTCCAATTTACATGAGGCCACCATGTGAGTATGAATCCTAAGTGTGGAACCACCTTTTAATGGTCTATGGTAACTTATACGTACATACAAAATTCAGAAGCACTATTAGACTCTTTAAAAAATGCTGTCAACCAGAGAGTAGTAGCCTTAAAAGCATAATCTGGTTGCTTCTTAACTGGAGAATAGAGAAGACAATGCCATGAGGAACCAAGGCTGCCCATAAGGTCCAAAAGATGCCATAAATGCTTCTGTTCAGTTTGCTAGTTACACATCTTCTCACCAGGGCCTGGCACCAGTCTAGCTGTGGGCCTTTGAAAATACTGGACCAAAAGGACTTGAGATACTGTATGAATCAACAGTTGTCAGGGCCTTTATCATAGTCCGTTTCATTTAGATAAATGGTTTCTCCAGATTGAGAATCCCCTTGGCTGTAATTAAAGGAGCCTCCCATTGTCTCCAATTGGATCCTCGGTCAGGAGCTATTTGGTTTTCATTAGTGTTATCATTATCATTGTTCATTAGCTGGCATTCCTCTTGATCATTTGGCTTTCCTTTGGTTTGTATTTTATAGGCCAGATTATAAGATTTTCTTTAACATGTATTAATAGTGTGTAAGTATATGCCCCAAGATAGGTATGGAATCCCTACAAATATGAGGTGAGATCATGGACTAAATTGTAAGTTGAGATTTATGTGTGCTTGCAGAATCAGTTGGTATGTCAGCTTCAGCTCACAGATAAGTGACCTGTTTGGAAGCCAGAAAATCAGTTTTCCTTCCTCTTTCCCTTCCTCCCTCCTTTCCTTTTTCTTTTATTTGTTGATTGGTTAATTGTTCTAAAGCAGCTGTTCTTATTTTGGGTGCTAGACTTTTTTTTAAAGCAATAGAATCTTTTTCTTTTTTTTAAAGAAAATGCCCGTATATAATTTCAGGGATTTCAGAGTTTCTGAAACCCCACACAAGTTCCCCAGATAACGTTTCCCACTCTAAAGTACCTGACTTTTCTCTCTTGTTGTAGTAGATTGAAGTGGGCAGAATTCACAGTGTAGCTTTCTATTGGGTAATTTCATTCCCAATGGCTTTACCATTCTCCCCATACTCAATTAAAGATAGAATTTTCTTTAAAATCTTTTCCTCTTCAGTCTCCAACCAAATACTGATGAGTATTCCTTCAAAATATCTGTTTCTCCCTCATTCATTCTTACAGGTTTTACCTTCATCACTTTGTCAATGGACTCAGTCTGCTTGCCTCCTATCTGTCCTTGTTCTCTCCCCTTTCCTATGACATTGTTTTTGTAAAGTAATTTGCTCTGCTTATGTGTACCCCTATGGCGTGGCTCTACATGTGCCCTACCGATCCAAAGACACCCTTTTAGGCAAAACACGTCTGCATCACAATGTGCTTTTGGCAAATAGATAAGTCTATTTATGATGATCTCTCAATTATGCCAGAGCTCAATTATGGCAAATATGTACTTTACCTGCTATAGGCCTGTACTTCTTGACCATCTCCGAGAAACTAGGGCTGACAAGAAGAGACTTCGGAAAGCCTTAAGAGAATTTGAAGAGCAATTTTTTAAACAAACAGGAAGGTAAGTGTGCGTGGAGGAATATTTAGGTTAATATTCTCTAGGGAATTATTGTTAAGAATGAGCTAGAATTTTTGAGGAGCAGTGACTGTATATAAGATACAAACAATTGTCACAGTGAAGGAAACCCCAGGATTCATCTAATGCAACATTCTGATAATGCTGTTATTAGGTATGTTTATGAAAGGCTGTGGCTACCAAGTATGACATCAAAGTTTAAAAATAAAAGATGAACTTCAAAAATCCCAACCTTAATTAACTACTGAATTTATCAAAACCTTATTTTTCAGCTCATGTAACTTCTTTGGCCTTGGTTACTTAGTTCCACATTATTCTCCATCTTATTAAATAATTCTTCCTTTACTTTATATCCTTTAAATTTTAGGATCTCTCCTTAATTAACTTTTTCAGGATTTAGTCAAAAGTTCATAGTTATTGTTTCTATCCCTTCAATAAATGTGCAGCTATATTCTCTATTTGTCCTCTCTTTTGTATGTCAACCCTGTGCACCCAAAGTGTCTTCATTATGAACTCCATTAGTTTCCTCTAAATTTTGGTGCATAGCCAACAAAATTACATGTATGGGCTATTGGTCTACTCCTGGAAAAGACAGTGACAAACCAATTAGGTATCCTGATAAAATGACTGGATTTCCTAGAATACTTTGGGAAACCGTAGCTGGCATATGGGGCATCAGTCTTAAAAAAATAATAATAAAGCTTCAAATGTCCCCCAGATCACAAAGTTGAAGGTGGCAGAGGTGGGAGTCACTGCTGCATAGGCTCCTCAGTATTCCCACCCATTTGCACACCTGCCTTTGCTGGACTGCTGTCACTGCAGCGGAATGAGATGCCCTGATGGAAAGAGACTATTTTCTAAAGCATTTGAAAGCTTGGGTCTACTCACCGCTTAGTCTTAGTGTTCCCATTTCAGTCCTCCAGGGATGGTCTCTAAAACTGGAACTACTAAGTCAGAAACATTTTGTATTCAGCAAATGAAGATGTAACCAACCTAGTTTTCTGCTCGGAATCTTCCTTACCAGTTGACTGCTACAAGTTCAAGTTACTTTTAATGCTGGTGTTACCTAATCTAGTATGTTATGTGGCTATTAAACTTGGAATATAAAACATAATTTCTTGGGGGGGGGTTATTTCTATTTCCATTGTTTCCTTTATAAGATTTCCGTACAACTTTTACATTTACATTTTTACCTATTTGAACCTGGAAATCTATTTTAAAGAGTTTGAGAACTTCTCAGTGTATTAGTAGTCCTGCCTAATAGATGCGCAGTAGTATTTGGCATTACTTCTGACATACAGAAAAGTTAGTTATGTTCTACATACAGCATTCCACCACACCTGTGAGTCCTGAACCAACTTCAGACAAGTCTATGTTTGACTGAGGTTGTTTGCCCTCTTGTGGTAATATCCTTAAACTAAATGCAAAAGTGATGGATGATACAATATAAATGAAATCATTCAGTTGAATGGATACAAAATATGGATCTTCATCTTGTTTTCATAAGACATTTTATTGGGAAGGCCTAATTATCCATAAAGTAAGTAATCATGCAAATGGATTACTAGAAATTTTAAGGTACTATAAATGTATTTAATATTTACCATGCAAGAGGCATAATCATATAGATTTGATATTATTAACAATTATGACTTGGGAACTATGCTAATAAACAGTTTATGTTTTCTATAATGGCAAAACTGCTTCAGGAAATACTAGCAAAGCTTTTCATTCTGGCCAATACATTCTTGTTTATTAGCCAAAATGGAGAATGCAGGACCAGGAAAAAGTTACGTAAGATTATTCAATTCATGTTTTTCTATAAATTAGATAATTTCTTTAGTTAGAATATTTACACAAATTAAGGTGTTTAGACACCATATATGGTAAGTTTGGCCCATAATACAGAATGGAGGCAAAGGAATTGTTATATAATTCAGACATTTAAGAGAAACCCTGTCTCTAGATTTTGAGTACTGAGTTCTGCACTAGACATTGCAGGGCATCGTACAGTGGTGCAACACAAGTAGATAACTACATTTTTAGGGATTAGTGTTTTTATTTGTAAGAGATATAAATGTCTTTATTCATACTGGGAAAATAGAAGGGCGTATAGATAAAACATTAAATGTTTGCTATTTACCCATTATCAGCCATTCTAATATTGAAGAGTATTTGTTTTTATATTTAGTAGCAATTGCAGTGCTTCATCTATATTTTCTACCCCTTTTATTTCAAAGTCATGGGTGGAAATATCTTAAAAGCAATTAGACATCTTATCAATCAAGGAGATAAGAGTCTTCCGAGATCCTGAAGCAATTATTGCTCTTTAGGGAACAAGTCCTGGCAACATATTTTTGTGGGAAGGCAAATGCTTTTGACAAGAGATGTTACCCATTGTTATTCAAGGTAAATGGCAAGAACAAGTAGTAGTTAGAATGCATATGTATAAAAATCTATGCATTACCATATGTCATCTTAGAACCAGGAGCCAAGAGAGCCACTGAAATTAGACTCATAAATTACTTAAAGAACTTCTCAGTGATCCTATACACAATTATAAGAAAACTTGGAAATATGTTTGTAAGGCAGCCATTGAGCTTTTTTCCTTCTATTATTGTAAGCTTGTTAGCATGATTTACACAGTATTTTACTTGGTATTTTTTAACAACTATCACTATAAAGGTGGAATATTCTGTACAGGCATGGACCTGTGGCATGGATAATGGGACAAAGACTAGACAAGGAATGCCTTGAAGGTTCTGGTGTTTGTTTTTTTCCTCGGACCTTTTCACTTGCCCTATTGTTGTATGTCTTGCACGGGACTATATATTGGCAAAATACCTATGGCATTCAAGTTCTCAAAAAGTACTGTTATACAGAAATGTAATAACACATGGAAGAAGGAGTGAATGAAGGTGAAAGGGAAGGTAAAAAAGACATGATGCAGAAATCAAGTGGGAAGTGCTACCCCATAGCTTCTTCAAGAATTATGAAAGGATTTTTAATTATTTGATTCAGTGTGAACAGATGGTATTTTCTGTTTTGCAGAAGTCCACAAAAGGAAGATAGGATACCCATGGCAGATGAGTACTATGAATACAAGCACATAAAAGCCAAATTGAGACTACTAGAGGTCCTAATCAGCAAGCAAGATGTGGCCAAAACAATTTGAAGTTCAAGAAATGTTTGTGATAACTTTCATCCAAGATAAAGTTTATTTTCCTCTGCTATTCTTGCTGAGTAAGTAGTTTTGACATACCGAAAACTGAAGCACTTTAGTGGTAGTATTAGCTGTTTTTAAGAAGGGATGGCAAGTGTAATTATAAATGATGAAGAGATTTACATGGGGGGAAATACAATATGTAATAATATAATTAGAAAAATAAAATTCAATGTACTCTATGCCAAGGAGAAAACTCACAGTCAGTATATTTCAGAAAACACCTAATATTTTATCAATTCTAAATAACACATGGCATCCACTTGTTCAATGGGCCACTGGTTAGAGAAAGTCTGGTGTCCAAAGATTGCTTATGCTGATTTATGGAAAAAAGCAAGATTTTTAAAAATCAATGAGAGGAGAAAAAGAAACTCTGCTTTTTTAGGTAGGAAGGAATACAGATAGTAAGAATGTAACTTATTTGAAACTTCTAATAGATTTTTAAGTGTTAAAAAAATCTACTACCTTGTCCCCTATGTCTGCTAGGTGTTCAGTACCCTAAAATATACTGAAATGTGTCACTGCTAATTTTTTATTTCTATATAAAAATAGCACATTATTTTATGTTAATTGAAATTTTACATTTCTGATTACCAAAGTTCATTCTGATAGCATGTACTTTGTGAATTATCTTTGTCTATGATTGACAGATGTTTATATTAAAATAAAATATTGTACTGAAATTTGAAAATAGGTATTTTGGATAGATAAGTGTCTGCAGTATATATCTAATGTGATCATAGTTATGATTGCTAATCTTTTTGTTTACTATAACTAAGATTATATAACTATTTTTCCATTGGGAATATGCATTTTTCTTAATGTTCCAAGGTCTATACTTTGTAAAGTTAAAGAGATTTCTCATGAGCTATAGTATAGTTATTCTTCATTCTGTATAAAATGAAAGATTTGAGAATTGTTTGCTATGACACCTTGGAAAAAAGCCAGAATATTTTATTTGCTTCATCAACTTTAGTGTATGTTGTTTTGTGTTATTTTGTACTAAAACACGTTTATTATTTTTGCTTTTGTAAAAATAAGGTCGACATTTTCTCTCTTGTACCAGCCATGTTTGTAGTTCTATTTTCTGTAATATTTAAGCATGATGTTGAGCAAATTCACATTTTCATATAGTCCGGATGGGAGGAATATTGACTATTTCAGAGGCTTATTGTTTTCGCTGTATTTACCTGATATTTTGTAACTTTTAAGAATCAGAATAATGTTCTTCATAAATTTGTTTAATTGAAGTCACCTACTTGTAACAGGACAGACACACAACTATTTGAGGTTTACAAACTACATCTTTGATAAGGGAAATGATTTCGTGACATGTACACAATTCTATTAAAATGTAACTATATATTCTATGATTGTAAATATTTTATACAATACAAATAAAATATTTTTCTATTATATTTATTATGTTGAAACACAGTAGTTGTTTCCTGTTAGCTAATATAAATAACATAAATAACACTGTCAAACAACAAGTTGGAAGTGCTGACAATTCTAGGCTTCAAGATTTAACTCATGCTGCAATTATACCCTTCATGCGGTTTGGAATTATTCCAATATTTGTTCAGTAGATTAAAATGAATGCGTATTTAAACACCACTTATAAGCTGTTATTTTGTATTTTGCTAAAGCAGTTTATGTAATTGTTTTTGTTATGTTTGGCATAAAGAAAAAATAAAAACATTGCAGCATCTAGGCAATAAAGTGTCAGGAGAACAGGATATTTCATAGAAAGGAGAGGGAAGGGTAGGGAATAGGAAACACTAAAACGACTCTGAATGAAATTTGTAAAGTGGCAGTTTGCTTTTGGTGCCAGCGACATGAGCATGCTTCAGTGGAAAACATCTGGTGATGAAAATGGACAACAGATGATCAATGCTCCTAAAGGAAGGAAAGGGGCTGAATAAAAGTAAGAAAAGGGGGCATTAACGTCCAACACTGATATTACAGGTTTTGCAGCTGGGATCTTTCTTTGCATTTGCTGTAGACAAACTCATGAGCTGATGACCAGTGATTTCTGCCACGGTGCCCAGAGAAAGATCCACAGGGTCAGTGTAAATGACTTCTAAAATGACATCCTGGGCATGGTGGTAAACCAGCACCCCATCTTCTTCTGTGCAGGTCAAAAATTTATTATCCTTGGAATTTAGCTGAGGAAGGCGCTGCTTACAAAATTCATCTCCTGGTGATCCCACAGGGGCAATAACAAGAATCACATAATGATAAGCAGTGTACATACAGTAGAAATCCCCAAAGTATAAGTTAGTATTGGGGTTAAAAAGTTTCTCTGCTGCAATCTCAAACCTGTATCTTCCATAAGGTGAATCCTGGGGTGGCTTCCCAGTATTGAATTCAGTGCTGCAGCTGAAGAAGATGCCTTCTAATTTTCCACTAATAGGAGAGCCATGGCTACCACTGTTATCCTTGACAGAAGGCTGCATAGCATTACCATGATGTTCTCTGCAAGAGAAAAGAAATGGCAATACTCAATACAATAGTGATAAAGCTACCGATTTACAGATTTGAATGGTGATGGGCCTAAAAGTCAACTGTCTACTATTAAAAGCCTAAATGCTCATCCTATATTACATCAAGAAGAAGATATCTTTGATATTACCTATAGGTGGCTAAGTTCTAGTTTTGACCCTAAGGAAAGGATGTTCTGTTGCAAACCTTGGAGTTCTTTAAAATAATAAATTTCTTGGTCAGAAAAAAAACCTAATTGACATGAATTTTAAAACTACCGTGGACAATCTAACAAAAATAAATGTATTAGTAAATACATCTTTCCCACTAGTATGTTTGAATAACTATACATACAATACATATGATAATTGTTTGCATTTTCCACACTCTCTCTTGGAAGACTTTTGGGAAACAGATGAAGCCAATTGTATATCTAAGGACCTGAAAACAGGCCAGTTCCCACCCAAAGAACAAAGAAAATCAGGGAAATACTGACCTCCAGTGGCCACCTACAATAGACACTGGCAATATTCCAGGAATCTAAACCAAAGATGTATTTATTGTACTGCTGTATTTCTTATTTAAAAAATAGCAACAGTGGATATTTTTTGTTTTCAAATTTTATGCTTAAATATAAAAAATACTTTTCTTGGTGAGTATATATGATAATTTCCATTCGACAGCTGACAGGTACAAAAATTTCTGTTTTATCTCTCATTTGTACTCTCTAAGTGAATGGTATCCACCATGACTTATATAGACTAAAGGGTAGAAAATTTACCAGCTAAAAGAGTTATGAACTAAATTCTATATTCATAGAATATTAAAAAAGGCAGGAAATTTTTTGCCATCAAAATATATAAAAACATGATACTGTAAAATACTTCCTTTGAACAGCAAAGATGCCTAAGTTAATTTCTCTCTTTACAAAACAATTTTTTTTGCATTTCCACAGCTTGGAGCTGATTTAAATCTGGAACCGTGATCTTGATTTAAGAAAAACTAGGGTGGTATGAAACAAACAACAAAAGTTCCTAATTTTTTTTTCAAATACAATCCTGTCAATTTCAGAATTAAAGTGAAAACAAGGCTTTAAAAAATAATAGGGATTACTATAATTTGTAATTACAAGTTAAAAGTTTTAAAACCCATATAGGATTTACTATTTTAAAATACTTAATTTCACTTTAAAAATCACATCTACCTTTTTACTTCCTGAAATTTTTTCTTTCTTTTTTTTTTTTAAATATGGAATGCTTCATGAATTTGCGTGTCATCCTTGCACAGGGGCCATGCTAATCTTCTCTGTATCGTTCCAATTTTAGTATATGTGCTGCCGAAGTGAGCACCTGAAATTTTTTCTTACAAATATGAAAGAGTTGTAAGTATTGAAACTACCTGTTGGTTAAAATCCTTTTGAATTCTTGGAAACCACTCTCAGAGGTAAACATGGGCTATCTCAAAAATAATAGCCAAACACTAGAATTCAAAAGTAAACAAAGAAGACTGTCCTCACGAATAATTAATTCAAGATAACAGTTGAGAGATTTCCAGTTAGGCATAAATCTGAAAATCCTACATGATTTACCATAATATTTCAGGAAATAATTACTCTTTTATTCTCTTATTTTTAATGTTTTAAAGAGACCCAGAAGAGAAGGAGAAAATTCAGTAGTAGATATGAAAGAGAGGCAGTGAGTTATTGAGGATTAGAGGAGTGTGTACATGAAATGCTCATCAATCTAAAATCCTGGGGGGTTAAAATCTTTCACTCAAATAGACAGGAATTGGTATTACAAATGATTATGGAAAGGAATCTAAATGAAGTGGGAAAAATCCCATGATCTGACTTTTTTCTTACTTAATTATTCTGGGAAATAAAACCAGAATATAATCAACTATTTTGAAAAGGAGACTAAAATTGCTAGTTCCTAGAGCTAGACTCAAGGAAAACTTAAGCCTAGAATTTGGAATGTCATTTAGTAAAGAGAATAAGTATATATGTGCTTTTGATCCTTACCGAATATAGTCAAAATATTCTTTGTGCTGGTTACGATAAAAAACAGAAAATTTTAACATCCGTCCTGCAATCACTTCTGCCTTCTCCAACAGTTGTGTTAGATGAACTTTTGAATAGTCTGGAAATTACAAAAATGTCTGCTATTAAAAATACATTACCAAAAGTACCGACTGCCTACTTAATAAATTGAAGATTATTAAAATTCACTTTTAGAAATTCATCTTAATAAATAGGAAATTGCACTTAACAATACAAACATTCATTGTCTTTGTGTGACATATTTTTGTTTCTACAAGAATATTTTTGTTATGGCTTATGGTGGTTTTTTAGAATACTCTTTCATTTTTTAATGCTTTGAAATGAAAGATCCTGAAACAAAAACATTAATAAGGAATATAGACTGCATGATTCAAGTGATGTCAATCAGCACCATACAAACTTTTCTTCAATTAGCTGATAAATTGAATAAGAAAAGCTTATAACCTGAAAACAACAGCAAATAGAACTTAAAGGAGTAGAAATAATGATGTTCATTTAATTTACCCTCTCAATCTTTAAGGCTGGCAGGACAGATTAAACATGGCCTTTTTAATAATGCAGAAACTGTGGCTTGTCATAGTTTAATGATTTGCCCCATATTTATATAATTAGTATTTTAGAGATCAGGTCTCTGGCTTTTATGTGTACAAAACTCTTCGAAAGTGTAAAGCATCTCTCAAAGTAACCTTTTCACCAACTTTGAAATTGAGAATGATTGTCAAACTCCAATACCAGAATGTGAGCAGAAAGTTTCATCTACAAAGATTATAAGCCTTTCCAAATAAAAGCAACCTAATTGAATTGCTCATATTTTGTTTACTTACCACTTCATTGGCTCAACAAACATTTATTTAGATTAAAACATATGATATATAAGGTACCATGCAAAATTGGTTGATCAAGTTAAAAAATAAAGACTCGGAGTCTAAAGAAAGGGCCACATATATGGACAACAATCACTTATGAAGTAAGCACAGGGTTTTACCTGTCACAGAGGAGGCTAAAAGTAGATTAGCCTGTGACATTCTGTTTTATATCCAATACCTTGCACAGTACATAGCACACACTATGTGCTCAATAAATTTTGAGTTAATGAGATGTCCAGATCAAAATATAATTTATACAAAACAGCTTTCTTAAAATTTAGGAATGGGGGTTATTGATAAACCTGAGGTAAAACAGTCTGAGTTATTTTAATAAACTGAGACAAACTTTAAACACTTTAAGTTCCTCATACATTTTACTCATGGAAATAAAGATGCAAAATAAATTATTAAAAATATTGTGGCACATTTAAAAGATGGATGTTCCTTATTATTTACCCCATAACTTCCTTAGAAGAATTATGGGGTGGATGTAATTAAATAAAAGAACAGGGAGATCATTGTAAATAAAAGAAGATATAAGGTTTTCCTTCATATACATAGAAATAAAAGATATATAGTTAAATAGATTATAGAAGAGAGTAAATGTGTGTGTATCGATTGACAGATGATATCCATACACATAATTTCAGTAGAAATGCCAAAGGTTTTCTTTAAGATAAAGAAGAAATATTTCACACCTTTCTGTAATGTCGCATGGTAAATTATAGCTCTTTTTAATGTACAACTACTATGATACAGTTTAGTTTCATTAGTCGTATGGAAAATAGTGTGAATTCAAACAATGTCAAAGAAAATGTGTACATATCTTACTGTGTCTTACTCAATCTCCCTGGGAAGACACAATGAAAGTAGGTGGAAAGAAATGCAGTAAGAGAAATAAACACAAGGATTCCAAAGAGTAATTTTAATTCAGGTACAGAGT